GCACACTGCTTTTCGGGGGGGCAGCTGTTGCAACATGTTCCGTGTCTTTCGCGTCGCTGTGTGGCAAAGGCGTTTGTTCTCGCCGGCTTATCAGGGGCAGCGCGGCCACCATGGCGTATGCGTAACGTGCTAAGCCGCGGGCGTTGCAACATCAAGAACAGAGGCAGACACAAGTGGCAGCGTATCAAAAGCAGACGCAGACTGCCCGGCGAGACATTGGCTGCTACCGAATTGACATTTTGCGGCAATCCAAATGCCCCACAGTGCCCGTAACCAGCCCGTAACCAACCCGTAACCCCGGCAATCCATTCGAGCAGCGCTTCACTCGCATAAATCATGCCTCACATGCAAATTCGATTAATGCAAATGCCACTACAGGCCGCAGTTGTGCGCATATAGACGTATGTGCCCCATTTGTCCGTCAGTCTGTCAGTGTGCGCATCTAATTAAAGCCACTTCCTCCACGAGCCCAAGTCCGACTTGGAAACGCGACAAAGTCAGCCAAACACTCGGTTGAACTTCAGTGGTGTTTGGTTTCTTTGTATTAACCACTTGAAAAACAGCCCTGGTTGGCTGAAAATGTATTCTTCATTTTCAGAACTTTCATCTGCGAAATGTATTGTATGCAAATGGCAGTGCTGTCGAAATTCAAGTTACAGATAGTATTTCGCAGTTCAACTGATTAAAGAGCATTTTACTCGTCTGAAAAGCACATCCAAGACAGCAGTGTGTTGCAGGTAATTTGGAATCCGACTTACAGAGTCTTGACTGTAGTGCCAAATGCGGCGAGTTACAGGCGGCGTCACCTTGCGTCGTTTTCGCTGGCATCCCGGCCCAATAGGAAATTCAAACCCCGCCTTAGGTTAATTTATCAACGCCAGCGTAAACATTCTCATGCAAAACGTGTAACAATTTGTTGGCTTTACATAAGAGGGCGACGGGCAGAAATAGAACTGGTAACTGCTAACTGGTAAACAAACGCGAAATCAATTAAAAGCAAATTAAATTCATCGGCAGCTGCTGGCTAATGGGAACCTCCATGTGTGATGTAAAATAATCAGCAGATGTAATTTAGACGGCTGTAATTCTGTTATTTTTGGATGCCGAGTTATTTTCCTTCAACTGGATGTACTAATTGGATAAAGGCTTGTGGGGTTTGGTAGACTATTTGAAGTGGCTTGCGCAGATCTAAAACCTGCCAACTATCTATATCTATAGTCTGACGGATTTACTTTCTGTTATCTGTATCTTATGGGGACTTGCCCCTGACTTTCATTCTAATCCCAATCACTCAAAAGTCGTTGCACACGGGTTTCTCTGATAAAGTGACTGATACACGGAGAGACAAATCTGTAGGGAAAAATCGAGGTTGTGTGCTCCAATATTATGATATTTGATGTCTCAAATCTGTACCTAATCATCGAAGTAATTTGTTCAAATATCAAGATATTATATGTCAATGTTGCACAACATATTTTCTCACGTGCATACTTGTTGACTGACACAAGTAATTAATGCAGGCCCTGTACATGCATTCATTCCATGACTCGCCCGACACTCGCCTATAAAAATAAAAATATAGTAGATACCTCCGTTCATAAGGTAATTCCCTATTTGTCCAGCTGCGGGCGCACGTGTCGCTGCCCCCGTCCCCGTCCCCGTGCTCCTCGACATGTTTGTAAACATTTCTCGAGATTTCTAATCTACATAACAACAAGAACCACAGGAGCACTGGCAAAAACGAGATTGAGGTATCAGCAGCGCCAGCAATCGCAGTTTGAGCTCAAAAATATATTATAGCTCTCAGACCCGTTCCAGATTAGTTTCAGATTATTCCCGCTTTTATTTCTATTTTTATGGGGCTAGATCGCCCTTATCAGGGGTTCCTTTGCGGGTGCTCGTTGTCTTTTATTGCTCTTGACTTCACCTCGACTTTGAAATAGAAATTTCGCCAGCTGATAAGCTGTTTCACTGTGTTCTATGCAGTAGACCCGCTGCTGGCCCCAATTTTCTGTAACTCCTATGCTAAACACCGTTCTATTTGGCCTTAGTTGGTCTGCTGATCGCCCAATGTCGTTCGCAGCTGTCCTAATTGGAGGTGCAAATTGCTTGAGCTGGTGTGCGTTTCCCTACGATTATTTGAGGTTGTCATAAGCATTTGGGTGCGTTGCCTAAGCCAGTAAGCCAGTAAACACATGTAAAGACATCTAAAATAAATATGGGTGAGATGATTTAAGATGCATGGAGTCCATAGAAATATATGTACTTTTGCTTCACATTCAGCATATTACTTTTACAAACTCATAAAATGGATTGCAAGATATTTCTCCGGCCCTTTGAGTCAGGGAAAAGAATTTATTTATCGAAGATATAACGAAATTGCTCCTCCACTTTGGGAATGTGAGCAGTGCCATGCTGTAAGCAGTAGTCGTTCAATTTCCATTGTTTATTGTTTATTTATTTGATTTCCACTTAACATTCCATTTCATTTCACAGGCCCCACTCTGCCGTGGACTGCACCATCCAGTGGTAGCAAAAGTATTTTAAAAATAGTTTTCCCAGCTCCGCCAGCCGCAATTGCTGTCGTTTCGGGGTTTTCTCCGCCTTTCCTGATTAAACTTTAGCCATGCAATCGGGGTAAGCAGAAAATGCTGACGGAGTTATGTAGATAAGCTGCTGGAAAACACGTAAACAATCCACAAGTGCATGGGGCTCGTCGCACAATTTCAACTCCATTTTAGCTGCATTGTGAAAACGAATGAATTTCCCGGCAATTGCACTGCACTCCAGTGGAAATTCACCGAACCACGTAACAATTTCGATGAACAACACGTGACCGAAAAAACGCCGGAGCATGTGAGCAAGTAAGTGTACATATTACAAAAGCGATAAGATTGCAATTGTGGGGAGGTGGGGCCATATTACGAGTATGTGGCACATGAGTAACCCGAGCCAGTTTTCGTGCCTGTGCACGTGCCCTCCAGCCAACCGGGCGTATGTGTAACATACGAACGGGGCGTATACGTAACGCCGTGCAAGGCGGCGCCAGATGCACGTGCCGCACTGCAATTAAGGCGGGAGATCAGCGAAATGCCGAAACCGAAACCGAAAGCGAAACAAAACAAAAACAAGCTCCACTCTTATGCAAGAGCCCAGTGGCCAAGACGTCGTCATCCGTCATCGCAGATCACATTTACCAGATTTGGAGCCTACGGAGTACGGAGTACGGCTTACGGCCGCTGTCATTGTGTTGGTGTGACCTTTGGGGCGGCTAAAAATAGTCGAGAGCCATTTAAATACAATCAACGCGCTGGAAAGCCCAGCACAAAGGAGCACAGTAAGCGCTGCTTAACTCGAACCTGCTGCATGTGATTATGTTTTAATTTTTCAGTACAATTGCAGCATTGAATTGAAGTTGTCATATTTTTAAAACTCTTTCAATTTCTTTTCTTGATTGGGAATAAAATAAAAATATTAGTTCGAGCTATGGAGCTCGGACTGTATGAGTCCGAATCAACTGCAAAACACGAACAACAGCGTTTTGTAAATGCGAAAACATTTCAACAACACGTGACCAACAACAAACCTGAGTGCTGCACTGGTGTGCGTGAGTGTGTGTGCGGATGTGCGCTTGTGTGTGTGCCAAAACGCTGACATGCTCGGCTCGCGTGAGAAATTACGTCATGCGCCACGAATTTTGAGTTGTTATTTATTATTATTTTTTTGTACTTTTTAGTGTGTTTGCCACTTTCAACGTGTCTCGATTAAAAACGCAAAGCAAATGGATCAAGAGCGAGGGAGAGAGACAGTGTGGGACAACGTAGCGTATGATTATTATTTGGTTTTTTTTTAACTGAAGCCCTCATAGAAACAACAACAATAGCCGCGACTGTTGCGCTCTGTAATGAAAACAAAATGTCGGCCGAGTCGTGTGTGTGTGTTTGGCTTTGTGATTGTTGTTGCCAAGCGCCGGTTATCAGTTCGCGCTCTCTCCCGCGCTCTCTCTTTTGCTCTCTCGCTCACGCAGCCGCCGCCCAGTTGACTTGGCTGTTTCGCTTCGCTTTGGAATTTGTCACGTTTCACGTGTTTTATTGTATGCCGCCGACTTTTGTTGTTTCTGCTCGCCTTGAGCTTCTGCGTCGTTGTTTTCTTCACTTATTCGTATACATGCATATATATTTTATTTTTGCCATTATTCTTGGTTCCATGTTTTATTATGGAGTGGACCCACTGTAACGGTAACTCTCCAAAGTCGAAACTCGTACTGGAGTATCATATGGCGCACTTAATGTTAACCACAACCATATCGGTAACGGCTCGACTCGGCCAACTAAATGCTTATAAATATACATATGTACATATATAATTCACACGCAACTCATTTATGAATATCTTGCAACAACAACAAGGCTGTTCGTGGTTTTGTAAGTGGCGTGAGTGTGCGAGTGCGAGTGCGAGTGCGAGTACGTGTTGTCTAGTCATCAGGCCCCCAAATGTTGGCGGTACAGTGGAGCCAATCGAGGTGATAGGCGATTGTCGAGGGCATTTCGGACATTTGATAATTGGGAATATTACACCCTTAAAAGTACGCTACATATTATGAAAGACAACCATTTGAGGAAATCGCCATATTTGCCAGTTGTTGCCCTTAAGGTAGGCAACACTTTTTGTTAATAGTTTTATGGTTAATAGATTATGTATTAACCATTTGTTTTAAAAATTTGATGTCTACTTCATATTTTTAGACATCCCCTGTTCAAACAAAGGCAATCTGGCAAATTGGCCAATATGTCGTAGGAAATCCCAGGGGTCTATCTCCCAGCGGATTTTGTGGCCATACAACTCGCGTTTCAGTCCCACTGTGGCAATCACGTTCGCCGCACACGAAATGCCTTCACTCTCGCAACAACACATGTTGCTCTCTCTTTTGGCGTGCACGTCATTAATTTGACGCTCTCTCGCCTCTTTTTTGGGGTCTCGTGCCGCCAGCGAGTTTTATTCATTCATTTCGATTCTGTCTCTTGTCGCGAACAGACGTTTGGGAAATAGTTCACGGTGCGGGTGACGTGACAGTGCAAAAATTAAATACAACAAAAAAAGGCAAATAAGGCAAGAGGGAGAGCAAATAAAAAACAGCAAAATTAGCTGGAGGGGCACAACAACAAATTTGATACATACCTATATATACGTGCTTTAATAGTGAAACACACGCACACGCACGCACGTTTCTCGCTCGCCCGTACATATATTTATCGGTGTGTGTATATAGAGGCGGCTGGTAAAATTCCATTGTGAAACGAAAGGAAGTTATTGTTTTCTGTGGCTCTATGTATCTATGCACCATATATATTAACAAAACAAATAACAGTGTGTGCATAAAATTGATAAAAGCTAAAAACGTGTAAACAAAAATTAAACAAAAAACCGCGCAGCGCAATCACGTTTTCCGACACTATTTGTGTTTCTTCTGTTGTTTTTTGTGTGGATACCGCGAACGAGAGGGAATTGCTCCAACAAGTGCACCTTAATTGAAGCTCCAGTGAACGAAGAAGAAGGAGTAGTACGGAAAAAAAACAGTAGGAGGAGTAGACGCGTTATCGCTATCGTTATCGCACCCACACACTCGCACATGTACATCCAGTGATAAGCGGAGAAGAGTAAACAGGCGGTACTTATCAGCATTTTTCACTCGTTCCAACATAAATAAACAGGCCGCTTCGTAATGCCATTCTGAAATTTCGAATATAAATCCGGGACGTGAAACGTGAAAAAAAGAACCCGACAGAAAAGTATAAAATATCTCTCATCTCAGCTTTGGAAGAGAAAAGTAACTCGCCGCGCAGTGAATTCGCCGCACAGCAGTCGACTCGACAACCTGTTTGCTCGCCCATAAATTCGCCCCGGCATTTATCTCACAATTATTTCTGCACTGACGTAAGGAGGAGCACTTCCACCATTCCACCGCAACTGCAGCAAACCACGTCGACGCAGCAGCAGACGCAGCAGCCGCTTCACAAAACGGTCTTACTGCCCAGGAGCGGATTCGGTGCGTTTCCAGTTCAAGCAGCCGGAGGAGGAGGAGGAGGCGGAGGAGGCGGATCGAGGAGCAGGAGCCCCATTGGCACCACCATGGAGCCCTATTGGAACGAGACGAACGGACACGCCGCCCATCCGGTCAAGTATGAAAGGTAGGTATACTCAGCACAGATCCTCAGATCCCGCTGCAACTCGAAAGCAACTTAAAGCCAATCCAATGACTAAATCGAACCACTCACTTTCACCTGTGCGCGTTTAGCTTAAGCACGCAGAGAAAACATATCACAAAATGTGTAACAATCGGAAAATTCTATTGCAAATTGCTGAAAATTATTCAAGGCTTTTATATAGTTGTATTTGAACCACAAAGTAATTGAAAGTAAAGTAATTGAATACCTGTAATCTCTAAATCCTTGGATAAACATATCGCGCATCTAAGACTTGTGATACCTTTTCTTTGTGAATTAATTAATGGTTTAGTGTATCTTAGACTCGCTCTTAGTGGTTAAGCCTAAGTCTCCGCCTCCTCCTCTATTACGATCATTAGTTAGATCGTTATGTACGTGCATGTCAGGATCGGGTGTGGACCATTCGGATTTGTTTTAAGTTGTGTGGGCCGCGTATTTTTAGCCGTCGAGCTAGAAAGCGTTTTGCATTTGCAAAACAAACGCGAAAATCGGGCAAAGAAAACGTGGGCAGACACTGTCGAGAGGCTATTCTTGGCCGAGATGGGTGCTTCAGTTTGCGCTTTATTTCATCTTTATTTTTTCGTGTTTGCCAGAAGGCAAAACACAAAACAAAATCCAACGCACGACTCGCCAAACGTGATGTTTCGTTGATTTTTTCCCTGTGAGTCTCCCCATCCCCCCAATCCCCCCATTGGCCCATTCCATTTAGTTTGTATTTTTGAACTTGAATTTCGTTTAAACGTGTCCGAGCGGAATCAGAAAAAATTGTGATTGGCGTTGGTGTGGCCAGAGTGGGGATTAATAATACAAGTGAAGTGGTGTGGCCAACGCTGCAAATGAGTAATATAATCGCGGTGCTTAGGGGTTTACGCCTGTCTTATAAATGTCAACGGCCAAAACGTGGCTATAAATATCAGTTAACAACAGCGTGGGTCTATGCATCCCCAACCAACTCCTTTGATTGGCCATCGAGCGCGTGGAGGGGGGTGCAGTTCACGTGCTCGGGTGGCCCTTCTAGCTTTTGGGTGGCGCTTCGGGCCATGTCCTTTTGAAGGTCAACAAGTTTTGTGTTTCGCTCAGGTTTTTGTTGGTTCTGGGGCTATGTTTTTTGATTGAGCTTTATATTTGGCTATTTTGGTATGCGGTGACCGCCACGTTCCTGGGAACGTTTTCCTCTATAAATACACAAGGGCTAATCGAATGAACCGCTCATCAAATATTCAGGTCCCCAATTTGATTGGCCTTTGGATATGTTTTCGTTTCGTAGTCTGGTTTTTTCCAGTTCGGTTTTGGGTTTCACTGCGGATTTGGGGGAAAGTTACTCATGGGCTATGAGCAGATATGATTACGTATACGTCACGTGTGCCGCTTAATTATGTGTCTAGCCGGGTTAATTATCCCAACAAAATTTGATTAATGAACGAAACTGGTTAAACATAATGGTTAATCTTTGCTCACGGGATCAGCGCTGAAAAAAAGTAATCTAAATAAATATTATAAATTCGGTTGCGGTGACTCTTTATCAAATGGCACTTGGGGTAAACACGCGTCTTCATCGCGGCTGAAGTGTTTATAATTTGCATTACGCGCTGCCATCTTAATCAACACCCAAGTCAGTCATAAATGCGAAAAATAGCAGAGAGAAAACACAAATAGAGATAAGCAAACACGCGATAAAAAGCGGTACGGGCGTGACGCACAATCGCTCCTCTCCAAACCGAAATGTATCTATCTATATATCTATCTAAAGGCACATGTGTACCTATATATGTATCTTGTATCTATAAAGTGTCCAGAGTTGTCAAGCGTCAGTGAGATCTCGGGTTTGTTGCACGACGAGACAGTTGCTAAACCGCCCCGCAAAACAATTAAAAAATACACCCCGCAACCCCATTTAGTACTCAGCTGTCTCTCGTTGTTTTCGATTTCGGGATCTTGACAACGACGCCATCGAATTGAAGACATTGACCCAGTGATTAGTGATATTAACATTTCCCCATTCACATCCCATTGGACGCCATGGATCTGGAGCCGCACGAGATCTCTGAAAAAGTGTGTTTGTTTGCTGGCTACTTCTGTGTTGCAGGGGTTCCAAATGGATTTCCTGCACAACATGAACTCACAGATGTTCAGCAAGACAACACGTCAAAAATATCAACAGGATATTCAAGATTGGAGCTGCTAAAGCAATTTATAATCTAACCAGAAACCATCGAAAGTGTAGAAATAATAAAAATGCATAAGAAAGACTTGAATGGCCATATTTTTGATACCTTTATTATTGCTTTGAAATTTGTGCTCTGTTGTTCATGAACGTAAGATAATTAATAATTACTAATTAGTGGCAAAAATCCCATATCAACACAGTTGTTTTTAATATATTCACTCTTTCGATCGCGCTTATCACCAAAACGAATAACAAACGCATGCACCGCGCTATAAATAGCAGAACGGAGTGTTATAAATTATATGGACAGATATATATCCGCCTGCGTCGAAAATGTTGGCGATCCTACCCGATCTCGATCCGATTCGATCCGCATCGATACGTTTCGTTCCGTCGCCGGACTTATCGCCACCACCACCATCATCATCATCGTCGACGATGATGATCGTCGTCCGCTCCGTTCGCCGTCCATTGGCATTTGAGAAGCGGGCACGTAGTCGTTCACGTTCCATGCAGGCTGACCCCTATAGACCCCTCAAAAAAGAAAACCCCCACCAGTAAAGCTACAGTCCTCAACTCACGGGCGGCAAACGTGCCGCAGATATTGTGAAATTCGCATGGTATTTGTGCAGTACGACTATGTGGTTGATTTTTTTGATTAATGCACTCGTCTCGATGCTTTTTGTTTTTTTGGTTTGGGTCCGCTGACTCATGACCACTGCATTTGATTGCCGCTAAACGATTTAAATATATGGATTTGAGTGTCTTTTGACCCAGTTATGTCCAGTGCGGACATTCATTTCAGCTGGGGAATGCGGATGGGGAATATGAAAATGTTGAAGATCTGGGATGCATGATTAGCGGAGGAATTTGGAGCGTACGTTGGGATATTTGTGAATTTCTATTTCTTGATTAGTAATAGTTAGTTGCTTAATTTCTATCGTTAAATAGATATTTAATAGTTGGGGAGATTAGAAGTATGTGTAATTCCTTTTGCAAATACTCAAGCTCTTGATGGGGCATAACTAAGCCCACCTTCTGTTACCAACTTGCCTCTATAAGGCACACACGGCTATCTCAAGCAACGCTGCACCGAATACACAAAACGACGATTTCATAAATCAGCTCTGACTGTGATTCACTTTCCTTGGAACAAAGACAGCTCTATCTCATCACCAGCTGGATTTGCAAATGAGGCGCGATACGAAACTTCCATTTGCACTTTTGCAGCGCTTCTTGAAAATTCGTTGAAGAAGCACCAGGGTATGCGTAATAAGCCAAAGGCAGCCGCCTCCAATTGGCCTCGCATTTGTATCTACATATATGTTTTCTTACACTGCATCTTTGTGTGTGTCGTATCTGTATCTTTGCGAGTCGTGGCTGTGTCGGTGTATCTGTTTATACTCGACTCGCACCGAATTGTTTTTCGCCTAGACGGCACGCCAGAGAGCAATTTGCCGGGGATTGTTGCCCTCGATTCCATTGCGATTCCATTTACAAATCCAATCCCAAACCCAAGGACCGAGCCCCAAAACTGTTGCCAAGCAATCCATCCGGCACGTGTGCACGTTTGTGTGTTGGTTAGTTGTTGAATCAACTGAAATGCGAAATTCGATTTTGTTACGAATCGAATTCCGCTGGTGCAGCAACTTTTTTCTGGTCTTTGCACTTTGGCCAAAAACAATTATATCACGTGCCGCCCGGTAGATCGCAGTTTTTTCAACTGAATATTTATGAGCGCTACGCGGCATATCCAGTTTCGGTTATAGTTTCTAGTTTAAGTTTCGGTTCCAGTTTTGGGGATCTCACGTGATTGTGTCGCTCACCTGAACAGCAGATGCTCCGCTGCACTTTAGCGTAATTGGTGCTAATCTAGCCGAGTGTGTTCGAGTGTTCGTGATATAGTATATAATAGAAGCATATAAACACACCTTATCACCGACCGACAAACCCAAGGTCGTCGATCAGGCGAGAGCCAGACCAGACCAGTCCAGCCCCGCCCACTTTTGTTAATTAGACGCTGGGGCAGACTCTTCTATGTATTTAGCTTGATTTATTTCTCTCTCCTCGAGTTCGGCGTCATCGTTCTGCCGTTTGTTGTCGCGTTTCGGTTGTTTTCCACTCTCGCCCTCCGAGATTTCACAATTCGAAGCAGCGCATTTCCATTGCCCAATGTCGATATGGAAATTTTTGTGACACAGATCAGCGGCGGAAACTGTTGGCATTGAATGCCACGACTGTCCACCGTAAACATGTTAGCTGTGTAAATCAATACACAAGAAGAAATATCATCAACAAGTTGATTTTTACGAAAAAGAAAAACCTATGCGGCTGCCCATTTTCCCCCAAGTTTATTCACTTGAAAAATCAATTTCTTATAAAATTAGGCGATTTAATCAACATTTTCTAGAAATCGGTTTTATTTGTGGTAGCAAATATTATTTGAATGTGAACATTTCATCAAAAACCAGTCATACTGCAGTTCTTCAAGTGCTAATTGCTTAAGTAATAAGACGTTGATTGAATTATTTTATTTTTCCCTCTACATTTGGACACGATGTAGGCATTGTTATGCTCTTAGCATCGGCAAAAGTTTTATGAATCACTTGTGCTCGAATGAGTCAACAGTGAATGACATTTTCTGTTGGTTAACGCAAGATTAAGAGGCGAAGATATGACTGTCCCGTAACTGATTAACATTATTACAGACTTCTGAGGTGCTTGTAGATCCCCATCTAATCAGACTATTATTGTGGAAAAACCCAATCGAAGAAGAGATTAATTAAAACCGAAAAGAACAAGTTGTTTTCGGCTTTAATCAGCTAGCCCTACTATTTATTGCTCACAAAAGACCAACAAAACGGCATAAAAACAGAAAATGATATACTAGAAAACTCGTCACGTGTAGCGTGGCAATCTAATCTGTAGGGTTTAATTACCCCCGATAAGGACAGGAAATGGTTAAACACAAACTTGAATATCAATACACAAGTTCACAGATAGGTGTATTCATATGGGCTCGAATTCTTTTGAAATTTCTATTATATGTCACTACGACTCTTGGCACATGGTCTAATTACGAGTATCACAGACTCATGCGTACACAAACGTGTCGGTAGCTCCCCCACACAGTAAATTACGATCCGGATAGGGAATGGTGTCCATGCCTTTGGCAACAAACGGGTGGATGATCGGAGGAACTGTCGTCATGGCAGGGCAGCGTCGCGGAGTACTTGTAGATCCCATCGTCAGCCTCGTATTTCGATGCCAATTACTTAATAGTGCGACCACACAAAGACGGCACACGAAAAGTAAACAAACGTAAGACATTTCGGTGGGCCAGCGCCATTCAAACGGGGGGCACATTGCCAACTTGTTGGGGTCTTCGGCATGGCTCTCATGAATCAAGCGAGTGATTCTCACTGACGTTCCCAGTTTGGTGCTCTTTGGCCAATGATTAAAAGTACGCCACCCGAGTACACGCCATGTTCACGGGATTGTTTGATATCGACCCCATCGGATGGCGCAGCCCTCCAAATTAAACACGAATGATGGCTAATACTCTGGCAAACATTGTCGTCGGTGTATCGATGTATCGGTTTATCAACGCCCACGAACAATTAAGTTTTCATATAGCAGACCCATACTGGGGATTATAATAACGTTTGCTTCATGTCATTCATCTCGTGCGGATATATCGAAATCCGATTATGACTCAAACAAATCCTATTTCAGCTTAAAAGCAGAAACATGAATTGATCGAATTAACCAATTAACCAATTACCCAACCAAATTCTTTACTTAACTGAGTGCAGTCAACCTGCAATCCAAGGCGATGCCACGCCCAGTCCAAATCACTTTATTTGCATTACTCATACGCAGTGTGGTTGCTCGGTGGCACGATAATTGGCCACGGTTTATAAATCGAATTCAGCAAATTGCGCTAAACGCCAAGATGAAAACAAGTTGCTGCCGCTTTATTTTTAGGGGGGTGGGGCCAGGGCGGTCGGATAAACAAGTTCTAGGCGCCAGCGACTGGTGCGTTCTGGTATCTGAGTATCTCACCATATACTTGATGGCTAATTCGGACTTATGTAGTATACTCTACTTGCGTTTGTTTGTGGGGTCGCCTGCTTATCGCCCAGAGCCATGACACTTATTATTATTTCGCTCTTGTGGTCACTCTAGTTTATTTTGGTTTTCTAGCGCTTTCTGGTCGATGCTTGTGTGTTTGTTTTGGTTTTAGTTTTGGTTTTGGTCTGAGAAATTGGCATTCAATGAGTCTGTAAAACGTAGAATTGTGTGGGTTTTCTCTCTGGCTTTACCCCCGTGGCGCTTGGCAACAGTTTTTATCGAGATATTTGTTTCTTTACAAATTATGTTCAACTTTTCGCTCAGCTTTTTATTATATTTGCTGTTCGTTTTTGGCACATGGCAATAAAAACGTGTAGGTTCTAAATTTAGCTGGCCTGATATGTGTAGTGGCCGCTTGAAAACGTGTGTCGTTCCTTAAGACATCTGGCAAATGCTTTTTGAATAAAAATGTGTTTATGATCCACCCACGATCCTGACATCTTGTCCAATTAAATGTGCGTGTGTAATTGTGAGAGAACGATCTCCTGCCTGGACTGAGGATCCATTCCGGATCCGGATACCGTATCGTATGCTAACCGTACTTTAAGGCATTTCCACCCGTTTTACTACAACACAAACCAAACAAAACGCTCGTTTGATTTTAGCCAAGCGACCAACAGCCCAATATCCGGCTAACTGATGGAGAGCTCATTGAGGCACACTGATTGATTTGGCTGATCCACAGCGTTTTCGAGTCGAAGCGACAAGTTTTAATCCACTTTCTCTTTGTTTTCTTGCAGCCTTAATTTATTTTGATGATGAATTTTAAATAAATGAAAAGAAACTGAAAGCAAACAATAAACCATATTTAAAACGCATTTAACTAATAACCGTAGACTAACTAGCCCTAAGTTATTACACCTAAGTTAGGCTAAGTTATGCGCCTAATAAATGCATTACTAAAACAAATAAAAAAATTTGAAAAACTACCATCTAAATACGAAAATTTGAACGATCTGAAAAAAACAATACAAAACAAAACCAAATAATATAAATCATATTTGAACAAGATTTGGACTTACCTGTGTTTCTTTATCCTTCCCACTTCTTTTTGCATATCGAAACGAATTATAGCGAAGCAGCTGTCTCCAGTTTTCCTTATTGCACAGAATCTAGTTTAAATTTTTCAACATCAGCCACGGCATACAGCGAGGACGATGCTGAATATGCCACCGGAAGACGTAATAAGACATCGAGGGTAAATATTACAATTTTAGAGCGACCCAAAACTCGCTATCATTTCTAAATCAATTGAAAATATATCGAAATCGAAATCGAATACAAAACGACTGAGACAAGATCAAAGGATCAAAAGAGCATTAGAGCAGCGCCCCGGATGATGACCACGCCCACTAGCTATCACACACTCTCACCCACCACCAACTACCACCCACCACACACCCGGGCAATGACCTTGAGCCATGACGACCATGCCGCCATCGACGCAGCCGCCACTTTTGACCCTTTTTTATTGTTAGAAACAAAGAGCACCGAAAAAAACCGTTGAAAGTATAATAAAGTGAAAAAATGAGAATCGAAATTAGAGAAAATAAAATGAAACAAAATAGCAAAAGAAAATCGTCTCTCAGCCGAACATCATTACTTAGGCTAGGGGTCTAATACGCCCACTAACTACCCTTAAAATGGGTTCTCTAGTTAGCTGAGCTTCAAGCCATTATTAACCAGACCATCTCTACAACTTCTGCCCACAGCAAGATCCACTTTCCCATCGCATCATCGAGAAACGGAGACGAGATCGCATGAACTCCTGCCTGGCGGACCTGTCCCGCCTCATCCCGCCGCAGTACCAGCGCAAGGGGCGTGGCCGGATCGAGAAGACGGAGATCATCGAGATGGCCATCAGGCACCTGAAGCACCTGCAGAGCGAGTGCCAGCAGAAGGAGAGCGACTACCGGAGTGGCTACATGGACTGCATGAAGGAGGCGGCCAAGTTCCTCTACGACGTTCACATGCAGGACTTTTGCCACCGCCTCTTGGGTCGCCTGCAGGAGCACATCGATGAGATGTTCAAGAGTGAGTACATAGCCTAATACCGAAATGAATCACTAAGCAACTTATGGTTATCCCTACACAGCGGACTGCTACAAGTCGACGCGCAGCTGCCACATGCCGGATAATGTGAGCGCCTCCAGCGGCAGCCCCCACCAGGCGTACCACCCACCGCTGTGCCACCTGCGCGACATGTTGGCCACCTCTGCCTCGGATGTGGAGCACAGTCAGGACCATAACGACGTCAAGGATTTGAGTTTCCGGAACCATCTCAACCAGCTGCAGCGGAGCCAGCAGGCGGCGGCAGCGGCAGCAGCAGCAGCAGCCGCAGCAGTAGTTGCAGTCGCCAATGGCAGTTCGCCGGCTTCGAATGCCGGCATGGACTCGAAGGTCCCGCTGAGCAATGGTGGCGGCAGTGTTGGAGCACCGCCAGTAGCTGATAACGTGCCCACTAATTCCACGGGCAGTGGACCGGCAGCAGCGTGTGCTGGGGGAAACAGCAATAGCAGTGGCAGTAACAGCAGCAACGCAGCCAGTTCCACCACCTGTCCGCCGGCCGGAGGCAGCTGTCCAGCCAAAATCACACCGCTGGCGGCACACCAGCAGCCCCACCAGGCGCCAGTGATTACTTCGACGGCCCCGCATCATCATCACCATCATACGGACAGCAGCCACCACGACTTCGAGTCGTCCAGGGAGCCGATCCTACACACCGATACCTCTAACATGCACTCGCCACCGCCCAGGGATCTGCTGCTGCAGCAGCATCCCCACCTGGCCCATAGCCACCATACCCAGGACAGCCTGATGTCCGTGCGCATGCGCAACTATTCGGAGTCCTCCCACGAGGTGGAGCACAACAACAACTACAAGTACAAGAATCACATCAAGGAGCGGTTCGTCCACGAGCTCCACGACGAGGAGACGAGCAGCGAGCATTGTCCGGTGGCGGCCCACCTCCAGAGCGATCACTCCCACTTGCAGGCCTTGTCGGAGCACTCCAAGGACGGCACTGAACCCGAAATAGCCCCCATTATGGCCAAGAAACGGAAGTTGGCCGAGGCAGCGGCCAATGGAGAAATACCCCTAGAGGTTCATACCGAGTCCAGCAACGCGGGAGCGAGTTCCGCCAACCGACTGGACAAACCCTCGCCCTCGTTCAACTTCAGCGACATCAAGGACATCAAGGCGGAGCTGCACAACGGCAACTCCAACTCCAGCCCACTGCTGGCCAAGCTGAGTGCGGTGGCTGCTGCCGGTGGCCAGTTGAGCACACCGAGTAGCACAACCGCTCCACTGCCGCCCAGGCACTCCTTTACGGTGCCCATATTCGCGCTGCACGGACAGGGCAACTACTACGTGCCCCTGAACGTGGACTACAATGCACTGGTGCCTTTCCTGAATGGAATGGATCTGCTGGAGAAGAGCTACACCAGCATGCCCGTGGTGCATCCCATCAACATCAATGTGAACTTCATGCCCAGTTCACCGTCCGCCTCGCTCTTGGCCGCTGCTGCAGCTGCCGCTGTGGCCGTTGGCAAGCAACAGCAACAGCAAGCTGTGGTGGCCGCCGGAGCGGGACATCCCCTGTCCACCAACTCGGCGGCGGCTCAGGCAGCCGCTGTGGCCGCCGCAGCGGCGGCCAAGGCCAAACTGGAGCAGGCCATGAACCAGAGCTGGTAAAGTCAAGCAATCGCAATGCAACGGGTCGACAGATGGAACAACACTACCTCAGTACTTCTGTGAATAATCATCAAATGATTAATCTCAAAACAAAAACACTAAGCGACATCTGCGCCCAAATGTACCTACCATACAGAAAAGGTTAATGAAATCGGAGGAGGAGAAGCAAGCGAATTCACTGGGGGTGTATCCTAAATCTCTGGCGGATTAAAAGCATAGTTAGGTCTTGTATCTTGTATTACTTTTTTGCCAACTTTTGTCCACAGAGCGTGAGCTATGTAGCTAAAACCAGTGCTGAACTGGAAATTCAGTGTGTAAAGGTGTTGAAATGCTCTGGAGATTTTAGAAGTACACCAATTTGTTACCTTTGGATTAGTTTAAACCATAGAGACAGCAAGGAGCCGCCGCCTCAAAGGCTGGGCACCTACTAGTGAAATGATTTCCAATTGTTAAGCGAGGTGGATAAAACAGCTAGAGTAGCTAGTTGTTAAATAACTTGAACAAAAATTGAATGTCTATTATAGTGCATGCATTGAAAACTACAAAGAACATATATGTATGTTGTGTGCAGCCGATAGAACGTATATGATGCCAAGAGTCAGTCCCACGTAAAAAATCTAATGGATTTTAAAACAAAACTAAATGTGAATTAAATGTATTTTTAGAGGTTTAACGTTTTTTGCAATTTAAATAAGTGTTGTGGTTTCATATAAGGTAGTCAGATAGCCAAGTGACTCCCGTCAAACAAACAAAGTAATCTATATATACAAATCAAATATATTGATAGAAACATATATATAGTAAACCACTAGTCAGAGAACTTGTACGAACACGTAAAACAAAAACAAAATGGGAGATAAACAAATCAAAAACCTATTATATTCTATGTGTAAATATTATTAGCAAGCAATTGTCCTTTGTTTAAGTTTGTATTTTAGTGACAAATTATGTTAGGTTGGTTGGTTAACACATGGGAAAAAAAACGAAAAAATATTTGAAAAATACCCAAAAACTTTTCTATTCAAGGAATGCACCGCGTTTCATTCTCGAAATGCGGTCTATAGTTATTATTATTATTATGATCACTACTGTATAACACTTAAGTTGTTTCTTTGTGTTTTTGTTATTCAAGAAATTAAACGCAATTTCCAGATCCTTCTGTCACCTAGATATTTTTATAGGAACTGCGGAAACGATTCTGTTTTGAAAGCTAAGCTTCGTTGCGGCTAAACTAAAAGTTGATAGCACAAAGATTATTAATGTTTTATGACTCTTATTAATGTGTACGATTACTTTTACTGTACGGTACTGTTAATATACAACTACGTTACTGTTTAATATATTTTATAAATGTATACAGATGTAATAAAAAAATCAAAATGAAATCGAAACTCCTTTTTTTTTCGGAGTTACCAGTTAGGTAATAGCTACATTTTTTTATGAATTTAATCTGGTCACTCACTATTTTTCATATATTTTTCTCAGGGTATGATTTAAACTTCTTTCTTGGAAAAACTGGATTATGCTCAATGCACTTGTTTAATCGCGCCACATTTAAGTTGCAGCACATGACGTAAATATTGCCACTCAGCTTGATTTTATCTTAGTGGTAAAAACTCGACTGTCGTCGTCGCATTGTTTCTGGATTTCCACAGATATCAATGTCGTTCACGTTATATCGGGCGAAGAATCAAAGTGGCTTGCAAAACAAGTTATTCTGCTTCCAGTGGTCCAGCGGAGCAGTCATCTCAGCGAACTCGGTGCAAACGATCCTGCTGCTTGAAATGAGTGCAACTTTATATCGGGTCTCCATATGGAGCTTACTTTTGGTTGGCATTGCTGCAGATATCTCAGATTGTGATTTCCTTGATACCGTGGACCTAACGCACAGTTCCAAGTTCGAAAACGGTTCGTATAGGTACGAGGATCTCATCATACCTGCCAGACTTACGGGCCAGTATGACTATAGGATCCTGGACGGTGGATCCTGGGAGCATGTCTCCAATCACGTCAGGGGATGTATTTGCAAGCTAAGGCCGTGTATTCGGCTCTGCTGTCACCATAGGAAACTGATGAGTAGTACACAGTGTTCCAAGGATGTAGATGCAGACCTCACCTACGATTATGCTCTGGACATAACGCTACGAAATGGAAGTGTGACTAGGAAACACATCATGAATGAGATGATCGTCCAGCAGGATCTACCAATGCCATGCCAAATCCATTATGAACTGGATGCAGAACGATACGCAGAAGACAAATGGACATTATTCGAAGTTAGTTTGGAGGGAACTGGAATGGTTAATATTACTTGCATTAACATTATTTCAAATTCCAGAACGGAACTCTGCTGCGACATTATGACAATGCGTTTCTCTCCAAACAGGATTACTGTTTACAGCCCAGAAGGTCGAAGTCTGGAGAAAGTTACTCACTCGTGCCTTATAACTGCATCATCCAGCCTTCGATGACAATGGCTTATGGTAATAGTCACTGATTTCAAACGCAACCAATCTAACTTTCCTTTCAGTCAAACTAGTGTCCGTGGTGTTTATGGCCCTGACAATTGGTACCTATTCGTGGCTTCCCTTATTTCATACCGTCCATGGCAAGTGTTGCACACTGTACTTCGTAAGCCTCATGGTTACGTTTCTACTGAACGTAGCCAGTATGTTTGGGGTATTTATAAACGATTTGATGTGCCTACTCAATGGTGAGATTATACGAGGAAGGATAGCCACTTTAACTTTATATGTATACTAAATATATATGTACTAAAGGATTCGCTGGATACTTCGCAGCAATGGCCACTTTTGCATGGCTTTCCGTGATCAGTTACGATGTCTGGAGAAGATTTGGCTTGCATCAGAATCGAGATTTCTGCAGAAGCATGGGAAATCGATTTCTTCATTACAACCTCATAGTTTGGAGCATTGCAGCCCTCTTGACTTTGGGTGTTTTCATAGTAGATCTACTGTTCCCATATTACAGCGACTCAGGTTCAAATTTTGTGCCAGGCGTGGGCGTAACTTCCTGCTGGATCATGAGTAAGTGTATATATGCTCCTCGGACTCCATTAACCCTGACTTTCCTTTTTAGCCGATGGCTGGTCGGGTATGGTTTACTTTTATGGCCCGATATTTCTTCTTATTTTATTCAACGGGATTATGTTCTATTTAACAATCCGTAACATTCGAGCGGAGAAAAGGCTGAGACCAAAAGTCATTAAAAATTGCGACGAGAAAGAAAAATCGAGATTCCGTGCTAAGTATTGTATCATTTTCTTTGTTCTTTCCAAATGAGAAAGCTGAGTATAACTTGTAAGTTTTTCAGTTACAGCCTATATGTGTACCTTTTCGTAATTATGGGTGGCTGCTGGATTCTGGAAATAATCGCGTTCATATGCGAAATCAAAAATATCTTGCTACCACTTATCAAAGCGAATGAACTGGTTAACTGCAGTCAAGGCATTATAATATTTCTTTTAACAATTTGCAACAAGGAGGTACGGAAAACCATAAGGGACCGGTAAGTTTTTTGTTTGTTATATTATTTTATGATATTTTTACTATAGAATACCATTAATTCTCTTCAGAATACAACCTAAACGCACCAGTGGCATTGAGTTCGAAACTTGCACAATGACGCAGGACTGTCATCTGATGCATCAATTGAATTAGTTAGCAAAACATTTATGTATTCTGTTGAAACTTGTTTGCTTATCAGTCCGTAGTGTATAAGTGGTTCTTTCAATAAAATTTAGTATGGCTTACATATGAAAATGCATTTAATCAATAGCAAACCGGAGTATCCTTGAGTATCGCAAAGAACATAAGTGGTTAGAACATAGTTGGCTGTATATAACGATTAATCGCCGCACTTTGTAGGAAATTTTCTTGCAAAACTTATTTATAAACATTTCCCATCTTGTGAGGAGGAGGCGATAAAGGAACAAGCTTAAGTGGCCTTTTGCGATCGGACATTTATTCAGAGTCTAGCAATCGCACATAAAAGTCGGTAGAGCGGAAAAAGTACCCATTAAATACAAGTGTATCACAATGGGAACGTTCAGAATTGAATACTTACTCTTAAGTATCCTTGTGATTGGTGCTCAGTGCACAGATATTCCACACTGCGATTTTTTCGATACGGTTAAGTTAAGTGACAGTGAAAAGTTGTCAAATGGATCGTATATATATGAGGGCGTCGTTATTCCCGCCAAACTAACAGGAGAGTATGACTACGAGATTGACTACGATGGCGATACGGTTTCGGTTCCCAATCACATTCGTGGCTGTGTGTGCAAGTTGAAGACCTGCATCCGGTTCTGTTGTCACCCCAAAAAGCTAATGGTGGGCGACGAGTGCTCCAAAAACGTGTATAAAAACCTTACCTACGAATACCTTCTGGATATAACGCAACTCGACGGATCAGTAATAAAGAAACACGTCTTGGAGGACATGGTCGTGCAGCAGGATCTTCCACTTCCTTGCGAGAGACACTATTTATTGGATGCGGAGGGGAGCAAGTACGATATGTGGTCGCTATATGAAGTATGTTACGCACAATACCAAATATTAAATATTATCATATGCAATACAATTCAACACTTTCAGAATGGATCCTTGTTCCGGCACTTCGATCAGCAATTTCTCTCAAAGCAGGAGTTTTGCTTGCAGCCCTATCCGACAAGTACCGGGAAGAACTACCTACTCATTGTCGCCTTCAACTGCATTGAGTTACCATCTATGACAATGGCATACGGTAGGTTTGAGTGTGTGCGGAGATCCACATTACCGAATGCTCCCATTCCAGTCAAGTGCATCTCCGTCTTCTTCATGGTCATTACAATTGCGGCGTACCTTTGGCTGCCGAAATTCAGATCCCTACACAGCAAGTGCTGCAATCTGTACTTCATCAGCTTGGCGGCCACCTTTTTACTGAATGTCATCAGCGTGTTTGGGATATTTGAGCTGAGGACTCCTATTTGCTATCTCACCGGTAACCAGCTGAAGTTCTTCCATTGCTAATTCAAATAATATTTCAAATACTGACTGAGAATTGCAGGATATGTTGGATACTTCACTGTAATGGCTACTTTTCTCTGGCTTTCCGCCATAAGTTTCGATGTTTGGAGAAGATTCGCGATGCGAAAGTTCCACGATTTCTACCAGAACAACAGGAGCACTTTCTTTAACTACAATATTATCGTTTGGAGCTCTGCTGGACTCTTGACGTTTGTAATTTTTTTGGTGGATCAATTTGTTGAAACAACTGAAGAGAATCCATATAATCCTGCAGTGGGAGTATATTATTGCTGGATATATAGTAGGTTACAAAATCTCATTACTATAGTTCTTGTTTATAAGTACTTTAAATTCTTTTCAGCCAATGGATGGTCCGCAATGTTTTATTTTTACGCACCGCTGGCGATTTTAATAATTCTGAACAGTGTTAGTTTTTTCCTAACAACCCGATACATTTATGTGGAGAACAAACAAAATCAGAAAGTGCTAAATAAAAGCGAGCGGCAAAAGCTTTCCAGGAACCATGCTAAGTAAAAAAAAATATTTGGTTTCTGATAAAACATACTTATTAACCTTTTTCCAGCTATCGAATTTATTTTCGCCTGTTTATCATAATGGGCGGAAGTTGGATTCTCGAAATCATTGCCTTCATTTGCGAGATGGAGAATAAGTGGATGCCCTTAATAGCCATTAACGATTATTTAAACTGCAGTCAGGGAATAATATTATTTATAGCCACATTCTGCAATAAGGAAATGTTTAGGTTAATACGCAAGCGGTGAGTTACCGGGGAAAATGCATCGTCATGTCAGATTTTCAAATCATTATTTGCATTCTTACAGCATCCGAAATCCAAATATTACTTCCGTAGACTTGACCAGTACGAGTCGTCCTGTGGAATCTGAGAAAATGGTCGACGTGGAATTAAGGAAATGAGCTAAATTAAGCAACTGATTTGCCTTATATTTGCCAGTACTTCATTAGTGGACTGAAAAATTTCTGAACAATATCTTGAATTGTATATCCTATCTTTAATATCTTGAAACATAGTTCTTAGGTTTGATTACATGTGTATATTTGTAACATGCTCCTTCAGTGAAGCACGAGACTAATTAAATCGGTACGTTAATTACTTGTACCGCAGTTCAAAAGATAACTAACTAACTAACTAATATTACAGCTAATAGTTTAATCGCAAGGTCGAATATCAAAAGTATATGTACGTATATGTATGCATGTGTAGGTATGAGCAGGTTAGAAGTCGAGCTTCGCGTCTTAAAACTAAGTTGTAGATTTCTTAAATGACTTCAGTCGAAATTAGGACGCGTTTCAAGTTTTTGAAAAGCGTTTCGTTGCACTAAGTAAGGTATAGGTAACTAAATACTAAATACAGCACACGTTGTTTGTGTTTAAAACTGAACTAGATGCACGCAACCTTAGCGAGTTATACAAACTAAAAAACTGGTTATATGAATGGGTTCACTTATGTAAAAGCTGTAATATTTTGAATTTGTTTTTCAAGAAATTTGCTTTCAGGGTTTTAAAGATTATGACTGTTTACACTTTTGCAGCTTTTCTGTAAGATTATTTTCGATCAGCCTGTCTATATATTTGGGCAAACTAAACAATAAGCTCACAGGGTCTCGTGGTGTGTGCGCTTTAAGTGGAACTCTACCATGTTGTCGAGATCACTGATGAACATCTTGGACTTTCGGATGTCCGAGTTGAGCACGCGCAGATTAGAGGTGTAGTCGGGCAGGCTGAGACTCAAGCCGGCGGCCATCTCCTTACCCATCTTCTTGGCCATCTGAGCAAACGTGGGACGCGCCTTGCCCAGCCGCTTCAGTGGGTTGAACTGCTCGTGTACCTCCTTAAGTTCCCCATAGTCGAGCACCAGCCATTGTCCGCTCTCCATGTTCCAGGTAAACAAGATGCGGCTTTCGTACTGCATGTTGTGAAAAGCACAGTCCATTCGGCCAGTGCAGTGCAAGCACATCGCCAGCGGCTGATCCCGCGCCGAGAATTGGGCCGTCAGCATGCAGGCGATAGTCTGACTTAGTGGACACACGCTGATCACCTCGTACGCCCAGTCGTAGAACACGTTGTAGATCTTCTGGTGCTTCTGGCACAGCAGGCTGATCACGTAGTACGTGAAGGTCTCCAGATCAAACGAGTGCTGGGTGATTACCACGCTACTACAGCGTAGCCGCTGATACGACGCCTGTGAAATCATCTGCATCTCCGAGTAACATGAGCCGTGCACTTCCATTGGCAGTGATGTGTGATAGCCCGGAGATATGCAGTCGTCTGATATGAGAAAAAAATTCCATTGACATCCATATTAACTATACTTTTAAAAGATTTATGTTACCCTCTTCGCTGGTGATGACGGAGGTGGCGTCGTCCTCCTCTACATAGCGTCTTCTTAGCTTCTTCGTGCACACAGGCTTCTCCGGCATTACACCGCCCTGCACAGGCATCTCCACAATTCGTGGCTCATCGCGACGCGGTGACAGGAAGCTCAGTCCGGCGTTTGGCGACATGGAGCCGCCGATTTCGAAACGCTTGGCCAACGACATCTGGAGTGGGGAAAGCGCTCCCAGCGGACCCACCGGCTTGTAACTAAGCATTTGCTGTGTGGCCTGCGATAATGGTGGCGATTTTTGGTTGAAGATCTGAGCCGAGTTGGCGTTTCGGCTTGGCGAACGCATTAGCATGGAACTGGACGGTGGTGAACGGAATCCCAGATGTGGGGGCGTTTGTGCCGGCTGGGAGGGATGTGGTGAAGAGGAGGGCGAAGCGCAGGGCGAGTTGTGAAAGAAGTGCGCCGTGGGCGAAAAGCGATGGAAGCTGCGAGTAGTAGTGCTGGCAGTGGACGAGTTGAAAGCCCGACCCGCCAATCGCACCTTGGTAAAGGGTATGATATTCTCCGAGTTGTCCTCCGAGAACTCATACTTCTTCTCCGCCAAACGTCGCTTTCGGAAAGTGGAGATCTTTTCGTACTTCTCGTTGTCTTCTGAAAACTCATATGCATTCGACTTGTCCGTCATCGAATTGGCAATGGGAGGGCTCTATGAAGTAATAGTCGAAAGTATTACTCGCTGTACCTAAGCTAATTTCATGAAATAAAACCCACCTGCAAATCTATGGTAGTGATGCCATTGCGGAACTTGGTGACTATCCGATGGTTGCGCCTCCGTGGCGGACTAGATTCGTTGGCAAGCGGCTTTGTGACCGGCAGGGTGGTCTCCGGCAGAGTCATACTATTAGGGCCCGTAACCACAGTGGGACTGTAGTTTGGCGTGAAAATGAGCTTATCGTACGCTTTTGGCGAGCAGTAAATGGTGCCTCCGGATTGCGACTCATTATGGTGATGAACGGGCTGACTAGAGCGCTGCGTCTGCTCGGTTTCGATGTCGCTGAAGTCGGCAATGATGCGGGCCACCACACTCTGTTCATTTCCAGACTCTGCCTCCGAACCGGAACCTGTGAAGGCAGCAGAGGAGCGATCCTCTTCGCTGGCCAAAAGCGTCCTGGGCAGCAAGAAAGATTGCGATTGAGGCTGCGCTTGAAGACTGGGCAAGATGAGGCTATGCTGCTGGGGAAGGTAGCCCGAGGTCACGGCCGGCGTGTCCATATCGATGCGCAGCATGTGCATAAATCCATTGGAGATGATCAGAATGCGCTCCGGGCAAAGCAGATTTATTTTCGGCTCAAAAGCCGGATCAGTTTCAGTCGAGGAGTATTTTGTGTGCACTGTTAAGTGACAGTTCAGGCAGTGCGCATTGTAAAAGGAATCTAATGGCGGGAAAGGGCTTAGTCTCATGGGCAGCTTAAAAGATTGTATTTCTAACACCTACATGGGCCGTCGTCGTTGAGTTTCTTGCACTCCAAGCAACCCAGCCTAGGAACTTTGACATATGTGATATAGCTATCTTCACCCTCCTCCGTTGCAGCGCCGTGGACAACTAGGATTTGGTGCTGCGCGTTTTTCCACTGCGTCATGGTTACAGTCTTTATGTTGTCCACCATATGATCGTCAAAGAGGCGACGCGAGAAGAAGTGGCGCAGCCTCTTGTGTGGTTGGAACAGCCAGAAGTACAGACTTTGGGGAACGTTATGATAAGGATATAATATGTTGAAGAATATGGATCTTACGTGTATTTATAGCCCATGTTGAAGGAGTAGTGGTTTAGCGAAGAGCTGTCGTTACACATCACCCGATGGCTAAGCATGTACTGGCCGCAGGCAGTTAGACCCATGAAAATGTGTCTGCATGGATATTCAGGTTATAAGCAAAAAGTATTGAAAGTTTGACTTTACGAATATCATACCCCTCCATCAGATTGCTGGCCATAACATCCTTGAGATATAACTTTAACCTATTTGGCACTCTGTCGTAAGGAAGCTGCTGCCTTTGGCCAGCCCTGGAGGAGCCTGAGAAGTATCCAGTGCGCTGAGAAGAGAATTGAAAAGATGTTTTATTAGTACATATGTTAACTAATTTATAGCTCTGTCCTTAATAAGTGCATCTATTAAAACAGATAACAGATTAGAAAAAAATATAAGTAAAACTATCAAAAGTTCCATTTCATGATAGTCATGCGCATGTCTTTTTATAAGCCTGGTAGCTCCTTCTATTTAAATCTTTGTTTTAATAATCTACAATATTCACTTGCACCTATACACTCTCTTTTAAAAATCAATCGAAATATGTGTTCAAAGTTTCCATGAAATTAAAGGTAGACCTTGAACTGAAAAGTTAACCCCCTAATAGGTTTGGCATAATCTATATGTTAATCAAAATGATTTAAATACTATAAAAGTTCATAGGGACCAGATTGAGATTGGGTATTATCTTTTGACCCCTTTGAACCCACCTCTCTGTCGTAGAGCATCTGCACCAGATTCCGCGTCCTTGGAATTGATGATGGCGTGGGAACTGGCTCCTCCGCAGACTCGTCCGAGCTGTCCACCGTGGAGAAGTCGTCCTCGTCGGAGGACACTCCCGACAGCGACTCCACGTAGTTCTGGTAGTCAGTCTCCATACCAGAATTGCTAAAAATCAGACTTAATTTATTCCTCCTACTGTCTCGTCTCCTGAAAATCGGCCGTGTTCCTCCGACTCCGTCCGAAATGCGGCTGTGTCCTGCGTCCTAGCGCCTCCACATCGACTGGCTTGTGTCGCCAGTGGCGGACATCGGACTCTGGACCTTTTTAACCACCGCTTGAGGGTACAAATATTACAGCATCATCGCTTTTTCGTTATAAATAAAACGAATTGCCAAATCTCACTGTAACCGCTAGAGCTGGACAAAAATCTATGTTGGTTCGATACTATCAACAACAATGTCGGTAGCTGTAATTATCGAATAAAATACAATCATTAATCGCAATTGACTTATCGATATTAAGCGATCCGAGGGCGGTTTTTTTTAAAAGCTAATTTCCATAGATATGATGTTCATACTATGAACTGATATGCGATTTCAAAATAATCCACTTTTGTTTGTATGTAAGTGAATACCCACATTCCAATAGTACAGTACAGTACATAACGAATTTGGGAACTTCTTATAAATTGCTTTATCTAGCATTTTGTAACTAAATTCGTTTAGTTTCGATGAGGTAGTAAAAATGAAATCGGCAATAAAATGACCCAAAATACGCATGTTCTTGAATCTGACAACGTGACTATTTGTTCATTAACCCCTGGGCGTATTTGTGGGTCAATTCGCTTGCGGAAGCCACCCGTGGCCCCGCCTCAGCCCCCTGAAACCGATCCTAACCGGCATAACTGATGCCGGGTTCAGTGCGCCGGGTTTTGAAGCCGAACAAAGTGCAGTCATGAAGAAACCCAGAGGCGGGCTTCACAATTTTTGGTAATTCGGCATAAAAATGTCGAGCATGCCAGCAAAACAGAAAGCCAATTGCCGGGATCAGCGAATTTTGCCAATGGAAATTCGGAGCAGAACCGATCGAGCAGGAA